TTAATCAAGAGCTTTTAATTGCCAAGGACCTACACTTAAGAGCTTTATTTAGTGGTCACACATACAGCTTGTATGATTTCACAACGAGAACAAAGTATTTCACATGCCTTGAAAATTACTACAGCAAACATTTGGAGAAGGAAAAAGAAAATTAATCTGGGGCTTTCTTCCAAAATGTAACATCACACACATAGTATATGTCAACAAAACGTTCAGACAGTGCTCACTCACTTAATGTAGCAATACTACAGAATCTAAAAGAAGAAAGGTAAAGAAAGAGAGAAAGAAGGATAGACTGAGAGTGAAAAGCCTGACAACTGTGTAACAAACAAGAACATAGTAGAAAAAAAATGTATTGTACTGAAGCTGAAAATTCTTTTTGAAAAATGTCAGAAGACCAGGTAGATTATTAAGCAATACAGTAAGATAATTATTTGTTTGCCTTGTTTGTACAATATTAACTACCTAATTTGTAAGGCATGGTGATAGAATTTAAATGCTAATAAAATCTTAACTGAGCTGATGTAATCACAACAAAACAGATTTTATATGAGTACATATCCTGTGTGGAAGGAACAAAATACCCAGCAGGACCAGAACCCTGGACTTCCACAGGGCAAACTTTGGTCTCCTCAATCATCTATTAAGGGAAATCCCATGGGACAGGGTGCTAGAAAATAAAGGAGCTCAAGATAGCTGGTCAACATTCAAGGACCACTTCTTGCAAGCACAGGATCAGAGTGTCCCAATGGTTAGGAAATCTAGTAAGGGTGCTAGGAGACCTGCATGGTTAAAGAAGGAACTACTGGGCAAACTTAAGTGGAAAAGGAAAATCTACAGATCATGGAAGGAGGGGCTGGTCACGTGGGAGGAATATAGGACTGTTGTCAGAGGATGTAGGGAGGCAATTAGGAAAGCTAAGGCCTCCTTGGAACTTAACCTTGCAAGTCAGGTTAAGGATAATAGAAAGGGCTTTTTCAAATACATAGCTAGCAAAACTAGCAGTAGAGGCAATATTGGCCCATTGAGGAATGAGGTGGGAGCCCTGGTGACAGAGGATATAAAGAAGGCAGAGGTGCTGAATGCCTTCTTTGCCTCTGTCTTCACTCCTGCAGGGTCTCCCTATGAGCCCCAGATTCATATAGCCCCAGAAGAAGTCAAGATAGAGGAAGAGTTTGACATGGTAGATGAGGATTGGGTTAGGGATCAGTTGAGTAATCTGGACATCCATAAATCAATGGGTCCAGATGGAATGCACCCAAGGGTGCTGAGGGAGCTGGCGGAGGTCATTGCTAGGCCACTCTCCATCATCTTCAGTAAGTCATGGGCAACAGGTGAGGTGCCTGAGGACTGGAGGATAGCAAATGTCACTCCAGTCTACAAGAAGGGCAAGAAGGAGGACCCGGGTAACTATAGACCGGTCAGCCTCACCTCCATCCCTGGAAAGGTGATGGAACAACTTGTTCTTGTGACTATCTCCAGGCACATCAAGGACATGGGGGTCATCAAGAGCAGTCAACATGGTTTTATCAAGGGTAAATCATGTTTGACTAACCTCATAGCCTTCTATGAGGAAATTACTAGGTGGATAGATGATGGTAGAGCGGTAGATGTGGTTTATCTTGATTTCAGTAAAGCATTTGACACCGTCTCCCACAGCATCCTTGTAGATAAGTTGATCAGGTATGGGTTTGGTGATCAGGTAGTGAGGTGGATTAGGAACTGGTTGAAAGGAAGGAGTCAGAGAGTTGTAGTCAATGGGGCAGAATCTGGTTGGAGGTGTGTGACTAGTGGAGTCCCACAGGGGTCGGTACTGGGACCGGTGTTGTTCAACATCTTCATCAACGACCTGGATGAGGGTATAGAATGTACCCTCAGCAAGTTTGCTGATGACACTAAGCTGGGAGGAGTGGCTGACACACCAGAAGGCTGTGCTGCCATTCAGAGAGACTTAGATAGGTTGGAGAGTTGGGCGGGGAGAAACATGATGAAATTCAACAAGGGGAAGTGCAGAGTTTTACATTTGGGGAAGAACAACACCATGTCCCAGTACAGGTTGGGGGCTGAACTGCTGGAGAGTAGTGTAGGTGAAAGAGACCTGGGGGTCCTGGTAGACAGGAGGATGACCATGAGCCAGCAATGTGCCCTTGTGGCCAAGAAGGCCAATGGCATCCTGGGGTGCATTAGAAAGGGTGTGGTTAGTAGGTCAAGAGAGGTTCTCCTCCCCCTCTATTCTGCATTGGTGAGGCCACATCTGGAGTATTGTGTCCAGTTCTGGGCCCCTCAGTTCAAGAAGGACAGGGAACTGCTTGAAAGAGTCCAGCGCAGAGCTACTAAGATGATTAAGGGAGTGGAACATCTCCCTTATGAGGAAAGGCTGAGGGAGCTGGGTCTCTTTAGCTTAGAGAAAAGGAGACTGAGGGGTGACCTCATCAATGTTTACAAATATATAAGGGGTGAGTGTCAGGGAGATGGAGTTAGGCTTTTCTCAGTGATGACCAGTGATAGGACAAGGGGTAATGGATGCAAATTGGAGCATAGGAGGTTCAAGGTGAATATCCAAAAAAAATTTTTTAACGTGAGAGTGACAGAGCCCTGGGACAGGCTGCCCAGAGAGGTTGTGGAGTCTCCTTCACTGGAGACATTCAAAACCCACCTGGATGTGTTCCTGTGTGATGTACTCTAGGTGACCCTGCTCTGGCAGGGGGGTTGGACTAGATGATCTTTCGAGGTCCCTTCCAACTCCTAAGATTCTATGATTCTATGAATCTTTACTTTTAAAATATTTTAATGAGCTTAAAGTAAAAAAAAACCAAAACCACAACAAACAAAAAAAACCCCACTATGGATTGATCTAGACTGTAATAGTCAGTGAGCACTAGTAAAGAATTTACAGCAGTTAAGTTTGTTAAACTACAGATAGGAGTTAACTTTCAGAATTTTATGCCTCTTTTTTGCAGTCTCTTTCTCTCATTCCAAAGAGGTCTCCTGTTCACTTCTGAACAAAAGAAATTTAAAAAAAAAAAAAGAATGACTGAAACTCCTCTACTGAACATTCCTTCCTCAAACCAGAGAGAGAAAAAGGGCAACTTAAGTACTTGCCCAGACTTGGAGGACTGGTGGGTAATCGTGTATTATGTAGTACCCAAGTATATTGACACCATCTGCATTCTTGGAATGCTTGGAAATATATTTGTTCTCTTCACTTATTTCTTACACAAGAGTCCCCTGAAGATAGCTGAAATCTACCTTATGAACCTAGCTGTTGCTGATCTTATCTTCCTCATGTGCCTCCCTTTCTGGGCAGAGAATATCAGGAATGAGTTTAAGTGGCCGTTTGGCAACTTCCTTTGTCGCAGCACCAGTGCATCCAACAGCCTGAACATGTACACCAGCATCTACTTGCTCGTGGCAGTCAGCGTGGATCGCTATTTGACTTTTGTTCATACCTTGAACCACAGAGGGATACGGAGGAGAGCTGTGGCCAGAAGGATCTGCTTGATCACCTGGTTCTTTGGCATCCTTCTCAGTGTCCCGACCTTTATGTTTCGGACTGTGAAATACCTTCCCGAGTGGAATATTTCAGCGTGTGCTTTAGACTTCCCCACCCCATCGTGGATAACAGCTGAAAGCCTGGTACTCAACATAGTGGGGTTTGCCTTGCCATCTGCAGCCATCATCTTCCTTAATTTCTCTACCATCCGCTCCCTACGAAAGAAAGCAAGGGAACGAAGAGCACTCAGAACAAGATGTTGCAAGGAGCACAAAGGCACAAAGGCTACCTGGCTTGATACCAGCTGTTGCTTTACAGAAAGGAATGGCTATCTGAGACATCATTTTAAAACTCAGCACATCAAAGATATTGAAAACATCAGGATAAACTTGAGCTGCAGTTAACAGTGGATGTAAGAGATAACATAATTTTTTTATATAAATATAGAAAAATAGGACAGTGGAGGAAAGTCTAGGCCTGCTACCAAAGGGAACCAAAAGGAAAAAGGAAAGGTCAATGACAACTGTTGCCAACCGATGGCGTCATAAAGTCCTCCTGATTCCCGGTGGCCCACTAGTGACTAGTGTCACTAGCAACAACAACTCTGCATTAGTCCTCTCAGAATAGAAGATCTGGTATTTAAGATGGCTGATTTGAACATTTGGATTTATGTGAATTTGGAAAGAACGTATTAAAGGATATACGGAGGTATGCAAAGTGGCAGGATTGTATATAACCTGCCCTGGCATGGTTTAGGAATTAGAAGAGGAAATCTTTGCTGTCAGTTTCTTTGTCTGTGAAACCAAGGGAAATGGACACATTTTGGATGCCCAGAGAGTGCAAGACACAATGCCTGTCTTTAAAAGGCATGGATAGGAGGAGCCAAGCATTTAGAAACTTGTTGGTCTCATATAAATACCTCAAAAACATGACAACAAAATATTAAATAATGAGTATATCCATATATGAAGGATAATAAAGAATAACAAAGTTATAATGAACAGCAAGTATTATTTTTTCACTAATAAAGTCATGTTAGATTAGTCCAAGATGGCCTAATGGTAACTGATCAGGCATATCTTGGTTTCAGTGGTGACCTTGGTATTTGCTTATATTCCCTTGTGCTGAAATATGAACAAATAAAGTGGTAAAAACTGCACGGTAGGTGCAGGTGTTCTGCTATGCCTGGAAGAGCTCAAACAAAAGTAATATTTCCAAATAAAGCATTTACAACATGCAGCAATTGATTGCACCTGGAAGATGCAAAGAGGGCATAAATTAGAATATTGGCAGTGTTGCACAGAATGCATTGTGGATGGCAATTTCTTTCAGTATAGGACAAACAAGTGTATATTCACTGGACCTAAATACTCCAGGTAACCAGTGTCACCAAAGGCGTAGACCACTGGACAGGTGTCTACAATGTGTAATGCTGTATAATAAAGAGGTTCCACCAACCCATTCCCCGGATGCTGGTTGAAAACATTCAGAAATCAAAAGGGTACAGGTGTCTTGAGATTAAAGTGGTTCTAACAATGACAAAGTTAATTAAGAGGCAGGATAGAGTATGGAGATAAATTCTTGCCATTAGATATGGGCTTGAAAACTTGAGGTTTTGAGAGAATGAATTCAAGAACTAGAATATTTATGTAGTTACCCAGTTTATGTGAATATTGTCCTTTGCTCAAGTTATGAAGCATTAGAAAAGTGTGTTCCTGACATTTTTGTTTGTGCCCATTAGTCTATTTTTAAGCTTCTTTGACTTCAAGGTTTTCAGTCCCACTTGCCATTTTATGCAGTTGACCTGTTCTGCCTGACACCTGTGTTACAAATTTTACAGCATAGAGACAGTCTCCTTTGTTACTGCCTTTACTGTACTTAGCCAAATGTGGTCTCCATTGTTGCTTTTGGTTCAAGTGCTTAATTAAGCAAAGTACACAAAATATGACCACCATTTTTCCGTAAATTTGCATCCAAAGCCAAATGTCTCTGCATACACTTCTGAACCAACAAATCCAGTTTGCAGAGTACAAATGGGAACCTCATCCATTCAGGAATTACAAATGTGTTCCCTTTATACTGCCAAGTCACCAACTGAATCAGACAAATATCTTAATTAAAAATAAATCTGAAAAGCTTCCAATAAAATTATAATATAAACAGTGGTATTATAAGACCTGGAAAAAGACAAACAGTATTTCTGCCACGCAGTCCAGAGAGTTATGCATACAGATCTGGGAAACTAGTTTTGGATTTTAATAATAACTCAGCATTCATTATCTCCAAGAACAACAAGAAGAACCACAGTTAACATCTTAATGTTACTGCGTGGATGCTGGACACTCAACTTCTCTTTGGTTTTAGTAATGAGTAAGCGCATATCATACATTTATGCCCATAAATAGCTCTCTGTAAGACCTTAAGCTGTTCTGACCCACACTTTCAGACTGTGCTCTTGCAGCTCAACTGCCTCACTGCAGCCTTGTCATGGGCAGGTCTGTGCTTACATGATGGCCAGCAAACTGTCAACCCACCCACTGTGAGCTTATTAAAACCAAATTCCCTTACAAAAGTTCAACCATTTATCTCTTCCGTCACTTGCTTACAGAAAGAGATCATAACACAGATGCAGAAATGCACAGGTGATTCCCGTGAGAAGTGGAGAAAGCTGCATTGCTTGCAAATGCTGATCAATCCTCCTGCAGCTTTCTCAACGCAAACTACAGCTGCAAACTAAATGTCTGCTGTGACAGTCATATAACATTTAGGGGAAAATATGGCAGAGTGTGGGGAGGAAGGACCACTGAATTCCACCCAGTTTTTGCTTTACAGGTGTAGGTGTGATGTGTTTAGGGACATGTCACACGAGAAGCAGCTTAACAAGAGATAGACAAGGTACAGCTGTCCTTTAGGAGATTATGTCTATAAAGACATGAAGATACAAATGTAGTTATTAAAGTCCTCAAAGAATAAAAAAAACTTGCTGCAGCTCAGCTCTAGTGATAAAGACTGGTAAAGGTGGTCTTTAAAAAGTCTGCCAGATAGAATGTGTGCTGGTTGTTTATCCCCTCTGTTTCCCCACTTACAGAGCCAGCTTTTCTTATTATGTCACTTGCAGCAATGTGATCATTGTGCCAATCTCATGCCATCTTTTTCTTTTTCTCTGCACAGAAATGGTTTCTATCAGAACTGAAAATGTTACTCAACTTTACAGCATCGTGGCCACCCAGGAGCTCACAGTCAGTCCAGCAAATTTCCGCAACCATTCAGGAGCACATCAGCTTTATCAATATGAATGTGTTAATGCAGAAATATGGAAATGGCTACAGGATTATCAGCCTGCATTCCTCTGGTTTATATTTATTCTGGGAGGAATAGAAAATTCCTTTGTCCTCATCGTCCTGTGTTTCCACAAGAGTCGCTGCACAGTGGCTGAAATTTACTTAGCAAACATGGCACTTGCTGACCTATTGCTAGTTTGTGCTTTACCATTTTGGGCCATTAATATTTCTAATAATTATCAATGGCCTTTTGGCCTGTTTCTCTGTAGAGCTGTCAACATAATGAGCAACATGAACTTCTATTCCAGCATTTATTTCCTGACACTAGTAAGCATCGACCGTTATCTGGCCTTGGTGAAAACCATGTCTCTTGGACGGATGCGACGAGCTGTCTGTGCCAAATGGAACAGCTTTGTAGTCTGGTTGTGTGCATTGCTCCTATGTTCACCTTCAATCGTGTTCAGAAATTTACAGTATTACAAAGAATACAACATAACAGCCTGTGGTCTTCTTTACCCAGCCAGCTACTGGGTGCCTATCCAGAACTGCTTGCTGAATACTGTGGGCTTTTTGATCCCGCTCTGTATAATCTCCTATTGTACTGCACAAATTATCAAAACCTTAAAAAGTAGTGAGGCACAAAAGCTGAAGGTCGTCCAGACAGAGAGAAAAGCCACCATGCTGGTCCTTGCTGTGCTCTTGCTTTTCATTGTTTGCTGGTTTCCATTCCAGATCACCACCTTCATCAACACAATCAGTTACTTCCTACCCACTTTCAAATGCCTGGAAGAAATCAATGACATACTGACTGAGATCGCTGTGTACTGTGCCTTTAGCAACAGCTGTCTGAACCCAGTTCTGTATGTAATTGTTGGGAAGCATTTCCAGAAGAAGGCTGTGGAATTCTTCGAGGGACTGGTCCCAAAAAGATGCAGAAAATCAAAGTCTGTGCAGATGGGAAATTCCCTGGACACTTTAAGAACTTCTATTTCAAGTGAATACCCAAGGAAAAAGTCTGATTTCCAATTACAAAAATAGCACAGGTTGTTCATTACAGGAAAACACATACCTGGTACGTCAGTTCCTGGTAATACCCATCTGCCATAGGTTCACAGAATAAGTGTGTTGTAGTATTCATCATATGTGGAAATTCAACAGCTGGATCTTAATGGAAACTCCATACAGAGATGTACTTCTAATGTTATTAAATGTTTTTCATTACTGAATCCTACTTTGTAATGTGCTTCACATTTTCATGGCTGAATAATATTTGATGCATGTGTCATTTGAAATGTTTGCATTTCTGAGATGTACATACATGTGTGGGCAGTTCTCTGAATAAATCCCCAGTATATAAGCTATTTTCAGGCTTGTGCAACTACTTATGGTACCCGCACAGTTTGTTAGGCTAGGTGTTTTATAAGAAGGACTTGTATTTGAGTGATTTCTGGTAAATGCATCCTGTAGGACTATTACTCAGATGTATTCTTAGCTGTGAGCATCTTCTGGGCTTGTACTTTCTCTGTTCAGTCAACCAAAACTATTGGGGTTGTTAAATTGACAAGCTGTGCCTTTCTGCAACTGCTCTGCCTCTGCGCGTTACAGGTTTACATCAGCTTGTATGCATGGAAAGCAACTCCATAAAGGCAAAAGCAACAGTGGAAGGAAGGCTGCGGCCAGCTGCATGAAGTTAGTTGGGTTTTCTTTGCAGCAGGATGTTCTTTACCCCTTCTGAATGGGGGTTAAACATTCCCTCGCTCCTTTTGAGTGGGCCAACGTCAGTTACCTGCGCTTCAGCTCACAGACTTAGTTTTTAATGTTCACAAAATATAATAAATATTTGTACTGTGATTTAATGGAAACATAACATCTCAGCACAACCGGTGTAGGAGAAACTGAGAATACGAAGGAGAGCACCATCTAACTGCCTTAGAGATCTAACTGAAGATAGTAGGTATCTTAAGAGTTCAGAGAATTCAAGAATGGCCTTTTCTGACTCTAATGCTACCTACATTTTATTTGTAGAGCTAATCTGACTTATTTTAGTACAAGATAGCCCTTCTCCGGTTGGACTGGGTTTATGATCTATGTTGAGTTTATACAGAAGATAAATCCTTTGTGTACTCAATTGTCAGTACACAATTTTGACTCTAGAAACCTTAATCAAAAAACTGAATTTGGAAGGATACTAAATCTTCTGAAATTAACGCAGGCTTTGCTGTTTTCAAAGCACTTCAGTTTACAGCCTTAGAACCACCAAGGGAAATGGAGTTTGGTGACATAAGTAAACTCAGACTGCTACTGTGTGGTCTTTATTCATCAGAGCTTGTATGGAGTGATAAAGTTCCATTAATGATGGGAAATGTATATTAAACCTTCAAGTGACTGAAGTAAAAAATGCTCTAGAAGTGTGCAGATGCTCTACAAAAACCATTGGATTTAGATCACTGTAGGTGATTTATAGACAATTTCCATAGGTTTTCTTTAACAATCCAGTAGAATCCTCTGTCATAAATACTTTTGCTGTTCATTCTTTGTATTGTTCAAGACACCTATTGATGAAACATAGCAAGGCTTTCTGTTCTCTCCGGTGTTATCAATAGCATCTTGTTCAGGAGCGCATTGTTCACTCAACCATTAAATTAAAGGAACTGCATTCAAAGGTTATTGAGGCAATGGAAGAGGTTTTTTGAGTATTTGGTACTAAGAAGCAAAGTATAAAACTGTTATTACATTAATATGACGTTAATTTAAGGCATGTAAATATATATTATTTTGCTATGCAGTAAGCATGTACAGCAGAAAATAAACTACTTGAAGAAAAAGAATTTGCTGCCATTTTCTTCTCTAGCCTGTACTCCGTTACTCAGAAATTACTTTTCAGAAGCGCAGCTGTTGCAGGTACTTTCTTATACTTCCCACAGTACCAAAGGAAAGTGAGCTGAAACCACAGAATTTTAGCTACTTTCAATCCTTTGGGTCAGCTTTCTTTTCAGAGCCCATTTCTGAGCAGTGCTGGCTGCCCTCAGGCCCTTTCAAATTTAAAATCTGAATTAAGGCAGCTAAAGATACTGAAATATTTTCAGTAGCTTTTCTCGGCCTGCTGGTAGCTCAAGGTCCCATGAAATATCAGATACTACCTCTCTTTGTGAGAGGTCAGGGCACACAAGAGCCCATAGTTTCTGTTTTCTGGGTGGACCCTCTGCCTAAAGCCTTTACTCTAACCTAATCATCAAATGCTTCCTACAGGTTGAAATGAAGACTCAAGTTGCAAAGAAATAATACATTTAATCTTTTTTGCATAAAGTTGCACATTTTATGTGGACTTGTTCCAAATTGTTTTCACTATTTCCACCAAATGTATACTCCCAATTTTGAATCTCTCTTCCTCACTGAAGAAGGTTTTAAATACACTGATGAAAAACAATAGAAAATAAGAAAGTAGATTCACAAAAAGGAGTTGGATTTGCAAACCAATTTTTTATCCCGTTTTGAAGTGATGAGTTTCATAAGACTATGTTATTTATTGTATAAATTTTAGACTCAGCTGCAGTTTTCTATCCAGAGTCTGTGAGTAAAAGCGGATGTTGGCGGCTCTTGGAGATTCATGTCCAAGCAAGGATGAATTCCAGAATTTTTGTTATTGCTCAAATGTTGTTCTTTATGGAAAAGCAACTTACAGACAGAAATGCACCAGCGTAAGCAGAGGAAGTTTCGGAAATTCTGTGACGAAGACCTCCTGTTGTATTGCACTTACCTTAATGAGTCAGCGTGGAAAGTGTTGTTTAGACACTGATCTCCTTTAGGTTATTAGGATTATTTAGGCAACATGTAGTTTAAAAATGTTGTGTTTCAGGTCTGCACCAAAATAAAAGTTTTGATCAAGACTTGGAAAAAAAATATATTCAAAAGTGAAGCATATAGCTTCATTTGAGATGTATTTTTTTACACTGTTTCAGTTATTAAATAAGTACATGCTTGAATAGGATGCCCTTTAAATAGAATAACTATTTATATATTCTAAATATTCAAATTAAATGTTGAGTTCCTTAGAGCTTTCTCCAGTGCAGAGGTGTTAACCAGAACAGTTCTTTGAATTTGTCCATTTTACCAGTGTTTGCATAACTCCAACTTAGTAACTTTTCAATCAATAAAAAAATAGAATAAAAATATTTCTCATGATGACAGGGAAGTTCATAGTGGGATATCACGGTGCAGCCTCCCCTGGCTTTTCATTTTAACTCACTTAACAAGAAGAATGGACACAGTCAGTAAGAATTCTAAAAGAGGGTGCATGTGTTGGGTAGGTAGCCAATGGGAAAAATGTTTTCAAGTAAGCAAGTAACATTCCAGACCCTTGATACTTTTGCATTGGCTTCTAAGGAGAGGTTGAAAACCTGGTTCAAAGCTTGGCTTTGTTTGCATCAGTACTGAGGGGGAGGATCAGAGCTGTTGATAACACTGCTATTCTTACGGATATCCTTTCTTAATCAAGAGCTTTTAATTGCCAAGGACCTGCTTTATTTAGTGGTTACAGGAGGGCAAGTCACGACATACAGCTTGTATGATTTCACAATGAGAACAAAATATTTCACATGCCTTGAAAATTACTACAGCAAACATTTGGAGAAGGAAAAAGAAAATTAATCTGGGGCTTTCTTCCAAAATGTAACATCACACACATAGTATATGTCAACAAAATGCTCAGACAGCGCTCACTCACTCAGTCGTGCCTCAAGATAAGTGTTTGAATTCTCTCAGTAACCTCTGTACTGCATTTCACCAACTCATTCTGGATTTGAGACTTTGCATAAATTGCAAGGAAGGACAAGGAGTAGGTATGTCTATCTGTTTTTAATATCTTGCTTTTATTTAAGTTATTGATCAGACTTCTTTTTTTAGAAGCATCTTTTATGCTCTCAGTTCTGATCTGTGCATTCTAGTAAGATTTTCCTTTCTTTTTCACCATGGAATGGACTCAGAATGTCAGGGTTAGTTGTCTTGATGTGTAAAAATATTACTTGTTTTCTGAAATTTCTGTACAGCAGAGCATGCTTGGCTGTTTGCAGAAGATTCTCTTTCCAAGTAATCTTTACTTTTAAAATATTTTAATGAGCTTAAAGTAAAAAAAGAAAAGCAACAAACAAACAAAAAAACCCACTATATATTGATCTAGACTGTAATAGTCAGAGAGTACTACTAAAGAATTTATAGCAGTTAAATGCCTTTTTAAACTACAGATAGAAAAAGATCTCTTTCCAAGTGATCTTTTAAAATATTTTTAATCAGCTTAAACTAAAAAAAAAAAAAAAAGTTCATTATTTTTATAAAACATGACTGGAATTTGTTAAGTACATAAATGGAAACCCATTCACACAGCTAATTGTCCATCAGCACTAAATACTTAAAAATACTTACTGAAGAAAAATTCTTTGAAGAAATGAAATTTTCCCAATGACAAACTCTTACGGAAACATAATTGCTAGCTGAAAAAGAAACCAAATTTAGTTACAGCTGAGATCTAGGGTGCAACAGAAGGTTAATGTTCCTGCAGTGTTTAGGTTAGGACAGCATGAATTTATGGCTCCAGCCCCGACAGCACATATGAAGTGTGCAAAGTGACTGGCATGAGTTAATAGCAAGAAATCATCAGGAAATAGACCAGCAAGGAAAATAAGCATTTTTTCTTCCTCTGTATTTAGTACAAGTAATACTTTTGCTTACAAAAGGAAATGTTTAACTGGTATCTTTCTCCTACATCATTTTTTAATGTATAATGTCCCAGATTTTCTTCCATTGCTCTCACACCTTAGCCAGTCCGCTATCATAAAAAGGTTACATTCCTTCTGTCTCACAAATGACCTCTTGTTGTCTCACAAATAGCCTATCAGATGCTAATCAGCTATTTATTTCCCTTATATATCTTCTCTGAAGTTTTAGATCTTCTAAAATTTCCTTAGTTTGCATGAGACTGTTGGTGAACTAGATGACATTAGGAGTGTTGCAAACAAACATGGTCAAAGCCAGAGAGGCTTGTT